TTTTTCCCCTTCTTCCTTTTTCTTTTTCTTTTCTTTTCTTTTCTTTTCTTTTCTTTTCCTTTTCTCTTCCTCTTCCTGTCCCCGCCCGGACCGCGGCCGGCCTCCGGGGTGCTTTAATAGCGGCGCAGCCGCGAAATTTTTGAGGGTATAATTGCTTTTTTCAGGGATCACGTGACGCTCCAGGTGGTCTTTGACGAAGTGTGGTTAAGGGCCTTAACCGGGGAAACGGGCCGGAGGTGCGGGCGGGCGCGAGGGCCGGGATATCACGTGACGCTCCGGGGGGGGTCTTTAACGAAGTGTGGTTAAGGGCCTTAACCGGGGAAACAGGCCGGGCCGGAGGTGCGGGCGCGGGGGACGGCCGGAGGGTCACTAGAGCAGTCCGCAGCGGGCGCAGTGCCCGGTGTCCAGAGAAGGTAATAGTCCGGCATGACAATGTTAATGTCTTGATAAATGCGGTGACAAGACCTCACTTGACATGCTCAGACAGTTCTCAACGGTAGAACTGCTTCAAACACGCTTCTCTGATCAGTCAGTTGAAGCTATATCTCAATTCTTCTTTCTGTATTTACGGAGTGTCACTGCTGTCTACTCAAGTATATCCGCAAGGGAAGGATATTTTATTTATACCCTAATAGAGATTGTCATAGACATGTGTCTCACGGGTCTGAATATATATGCAGGCCGATTCACAGTGATATATGTATCTGGATGCATATATACATACATACGTATAAATACTTATTATTATTATTATTCTTCCATTATAGATATATGCAGTCAGAGACTATGACATCTCCCTGAAAACTTTTGATTCTCAGGGTTTTCCTAGTATCTGTAAAGCTAATTGTTATACATTTGTCAATTTCAGATATGCAAAATTAGAAAATTCTCACACTCACAGAGATATACACCTGTCTGAAGATAGAATATAATGTTTGTGAGTGTAGTCATGGCGTCACCGGCGGGAGGCGGGGAACTCAAATGGCGCGCCGGTGATGTTTAACCAGGACTAGTTAAAAGCCTTAACCGCGGAAGAAGCCCGGGCCGGAGGTGCGCGGCCGGGATGGCGCGTGACGCTCCGGGCGTCTTTAGCCAGGGCGGGTTAAAAGTAGTCCCGGGCCGGAGGCGCGAGCGGGTGTTGAAACCAGCCGGGCAAGTGGTCCGGGCCGGCGCGGCGCCCGAAGCCGGCCTTGACGTACCCAGGGGCTTTCAGGACGGTCCGGTTAAAGCTCTTAATCAGAGAGCGTAGTCCTCCGGCCCGTCTACACCGGCGCGGGCCAGCCCGGCGCGAAGGGCTCCCCGCGAAAGTGTGTAACACCGGGTCACGCCCCGGGTGCCCGTTTGCCAGGGTACAGTTGGGTGTCCGGACCTTTGACCGGGCTGGTGCTCCGGAGAGGGAGAGTTGTCCGATGACACGCCCGGGCAGTAGCGCGAGGGCGGCCGGCGGGTGAGAAGTGTCAGCAGGAGGCCGGAACATCGCGCGATGCTCCCGGAGACCGTTAACAGGGCGCGGAGTGAACCTGAAAACCTCCTGGCCGGGAACAAAGTCCGGCTGTGATGGAGGCGCGGTGCATCTCCGACGCCCTGCGGAGATGTTGCCGCTCGCGCACTCCGGCCGGACCACAGTCCTAGCCGGATAGACAGGGCCGTATGTATCCCACGCCGGTGACCATGGCAATAGAGCAAAACGACCAAGTCCCACTTTTCCAGGCCCAATGACGGAAAAATCCCGCCCGTTTCCTATGTTGAGGTGGCCCAGTTTCTATTTTCCCATAGAAAACCATCCCCCCCACCGTCATTTCCAGTACCAGGAGCCCAGTCTGGCAGAAGACGACCCGAGAAGCGTCCGGTGAGTATGTGTAGGCAAGAAGCTCATGCGCTTCTCTACAGGTGGCATCGCGGCGAGATTGACGGCGGTGGAGAGGGGCACCTGGGCGGCTTGTACTCTATGAGCTCCCGGACCCCTCGACCCCCGGTTTTCTCGATCCTCCGCGGTCGTCCACCAAACACCCTTAGTTCCATGTCGGATAGAGCCTTCCACGTATGGTTAAGGGCATCATCGGAGAACCCGGTGGGCCCTTCAATCCACGGCGGGCTCGAGCACCTGCCGCCGCCTGTCCTTCCCTCCATTCCGGAGAAGCGGGTCTCGCGGCGGGTGTCGGAATCCCGGAGTCCCTCGCGGGCTCCGGTTCCGGTTGAGGTCTGTCGATAGCGTATATTAAAGTTCCCACTGAGGGGCGGGGTGATACCCAATCCTTACCGGGCCGTAGTCCCGGCCGGTGTCCGAAGCCTTGTCGAGGCGGGTGGGGTGAGTACAGCTCCGGCTGGAAGCCAATTCGGACCTCCGAACTACCTCCGTAATGGCGCCCCTCGCGGATCCTTTACCCTTATTCCTATTTCTCGCGTAACCAATAGGGTTAGCAGCCCTTGGCTACACACAACTATATAGACTGGAGTTCGCGACTACTCTTCACAACTGAGCTTCAATGCTATTATACATTTGACCTTTACATTTGATCTTCCTACCGCGAATACTTCTAGTAGCTAACAGTACATATCACGCCAACCTGCAAACACCCGAATAATCGCCTGCGAGCACTTCTTCCCTTTCAAGCTCTGTCAGTCAGCAATCGCCCGTTATGACTGGAAGGACTAGAAACTCGCGTGCTTCAACCCCTGCGAACCCTACTGCAGGCACTCAGGAGCAGCAACCCGAACCATGAATAACCTCTGTGAAAGAAGTCCCAGAGGACTTACCAATCACTCGCGGGAGGCCATTCTCTGCATCTGTGACAGAGGAACCCTCCGAACCCACGAACGAACCAATCTAAGTGAAGAATATCCTTGAGCACCTCCCGCGGGATCAAGCTATCTTTCTACAAGAAATGCTTGCTGCCCGCAAACACCCTCGAACCGAGTCCCTAGACATGACCTCCAGGGACGCCCATGAACCGAAAAGAAACTTTCTTAAGCCGCGACCACTTAAGGCCACTTACAGAACCACAACCTATAAAAGCTTTTGCAAGTTTGCATTTGAAATTGACTCGCAAGCCAGGCTGTGTGACAATGGAAGATGAAGAAGCTGTCACCTACGCGATGACAGGCCTCTACTACACTGAAGCCAAGGACTGGCTGGACCATCTAGGGAATGATCATGAGAGATCCCGCTGGCCTGTTCTCAAGGCCTATCTAGAGAACAAGTGCCGCCAGAAATGCACAGACTCCAAGGGAGCCGGACACCAGGGCGCGCGCAGTTGCGGCAGGGCCTTGGGGGCTGGCCACCTGCGCGTATAACCAGATACCCCTCCCGAAGCTGTGTCCGCTTCCCCAGTTGTGCTGGAGTATCCAGCCCGGCAACAATTGAGACGCGGAGAGGGGGCTCATCTGCCCAGGCCAACTCCCGTCACGAATTCATGGCATTTGCATTGCCTTGATTACCCGGATTTTGCGGGTCCCTGGGGACCCATCTCCCATTGATGATGGGATTGGGGAAATGTGGCGCGGCGCGAGGACTGTTGATAGGGAACCTAGGTATATTTGCCTATGCCTGGTCGGAGATCGTGCGGGTAGGGGGGGGGTGGTCGTAGGCCCGTGGGGCCGCAGGGCGCACTGGCAGCACCGGGAGCTTTGCAGGAACTGTCAGCTAGGGTCTGCAAGGAATTACTTGCGGGGAGACTTACAGCAAAGTGTGATTCAAAGGTTGCTTAAGCCAGCGTACGATTACAGGCGTACGCCGGCTTCTTATATACCGTACACTAAATTAATTGGTGGCCGCTATGGCCCCTTTACATTCGTAAGCAAGTTCGGAAGCGGCCGCGTTATTATCCGACGGTCGTACGTTCTTCCGAACCACAAAAGGGCGGGACTGCGGTGCTGGGAGCCAGGGGCTGGCCTGGGGGAGGAACGGGGTTGGCTGCTGGCCCGAAGATCGGGTGCGGTGGCGGGGCTGAGGGGGGTGGAGGCGCTGGCGCGGGTGGTGGCGCCCCTGCTCCACAAGCCGGCAGAAAGCGACCAGAGGTGTCGCGGGGACGTCCACGAGAAGCTCGGCGGCGGCCAGACATTGTTCGCGAAGGTGTTGGAATTGGAAAAATTGGAAAAATTTTGATTCTTGGGAAGTTCTTGAACCAACACTCAGACATTGTCAGGAACACTCTCTGTCTGTCATCTGGGTGGAAACACTTCGCGGATGGATGAGGATACTCACAGTTTGTGGGAATGAGAGCTGTTACAGAAAAAGAGAAAAGAAGATGGGGTTTCACGGACACATCTGAGGTATTTATACTACTCTAGACAGGTTTGTTTGCACTATGAGTGATCCCGCGGAACAGCCAGATAACTCTAGCAAACAAAGGGTGATTGTGGATCGCAGGCCTGAATCTTTCTATGTGACTACAAAGAGTCATTATTATTATTATTATTCTTCAATTATAGATGTATGCAGTCAGAGACTATGACATCTACCTGAGAACTAAAAGTTCTCAGGGTTTTTCCTATATCTATAAAGTTAACTATTATACATTCACCAATTTCAGATATGCAAAATCAGAAAATTCCAGCCCAGAATACAAAAACTGTTTACAAATTGCAGTGTTTTAACATCTTCTGATACTTTGAAACCATTTGACAATATCATGACAAAAGAAAAGAGAACACAGTCTTAAAGATAGACACATTAAATAGATAGATAGAAAAGAATAGAAAGGAAAAAGTAAAGTAAAATAAAGAGAGCTACAGAACAAGACCTCTGCAGTTTACACCTTAAGATATATACATATTTTAAGACCCTATATAACCGACCGCCGCCTCTGTCCTCTCAGGCCCGCTCCAGGGGTTATCATTCCCCCTAAAGGGCCGCCGCCCGGCTAGCTCCTGTAACTAGCTTACCTATAAGTGGGATCCTCACTAAGAATAACACCAGAGCTACTCAATTCTAGTTAAGTCTCTAACCTTCCAGCTGCCAATCTCGGCATTCCAGGCTACCGATTGGCCGTCACGGTCTTGCTTGCACTAACCACCTATTAAGGGCGCCTAGGCCTCGTCTCACCTAGGTCCTTGCTATGCCCAGGGGGTGTCCTAATCGGATGGTTTTTAAATCTCATTCCCCGGAAGTGGGTGCCTAGAGTGGGGGGGATGAGACCTGGCCAGTTAAGCTAGACGATGATTCGCTATCCTGCGGGCACTCTAGACCTCAATCACTCTAGTACTGATCTAACTTGAAGCGCCCGGGGGGCTGTTAACCCTAAGATCAGTGAGAATTAGCGCCCGGGAACCCCCGGGATGAACACCTTAAGCTTGACAATGATTCGCTATAGTGCACCCGGGGGCCCCCGGTACTGTTTTATGACTTAACAGTGGAAGCTATGGTTAAGATGGCCCTCGCAGGGTTCGAACCTGCCCCCTCTTGGCATTCATTCCCCGGGGGGAAGGCCGTTAATTGGGGCTCCATGGTAGCGTAGTTAACCACTACGCCACCGGGCCGACTACAAAGGGTGATTGCAGGCCGCGGACATCTTAATTCTACAATTCTACAGAGTTGGTGAAAATGCGCATGTAATTAGTGCTGTACAGCCTTCTTATTCAGTTAGTTATAATAATTGACGCTTCATCATCTGCTGCGAGGTAGATATAAATCTCATCAATCTCAATAATCTCAACCCTTTTTTCAAAAGTTAGCCTTATATCTCATATTATTATTATTATTGTTACAAGCATATGCTGGCTTACGCTCGCTTTTCTGCTTGCGCAGCCCTCTCTATCACTTTCACTCTTCTCTTCAACCACTCTCTACTCTCTCTTCCACCTCTTACTCTCTACTCTCTCTATCATCATCATCATCTCTACCGTCTCTATCACTCTCTCTCTCTATCACCCTCTTCTTCTACCTCTCTCTTACCACTTCTTATCACCTCTTTCACCTCTTTCACTCTCTTCACCCTCTACTCCCTCTATCACTATTATCACCTCTACCGCCTCTACTCTAGACTGGCCGCCGGGACCATGAATTTCACATTTGGTCCCATTTGGTCTGGTCCCATACATTTCTTGGCGTGAGTCCCACCAGGACCAAGCCTCAAAAAAATCTGAAAATGGACCATTTCTGAGAGAAATGGCGTGAAAAATGACCAGATTTAATTCAAGAACAGTGAAATGGGAGTAATTTTCCAGGATAAACTGTGAAAGATGATCATTCTTCCAAAATCAGAATGGGACTGGGACTGAAGGTCAAAATCAGTCCCATTCGGTTCATTCAGTGATTGCTTATATAATCAGAATTTGGTAATGATTATTGGTAACGCTCATGAAACAACTAAATACATTCTTGTGCAAGTTTATCCTTCACTTTCTCATGAAAACTACACTTCTCTGATATACTGTGATCAGAGGTATTAAACTGTCTGATAATTCCATGTTTTACAATCATGAGTTTCTTGATTGTTTCTCCTTGTAATTGTCCCTGGTGATAGTGATAAATATCTCAACTTGAGTTGAACTTTCACTCCATTCTCACCCCTGTCAATGGAATTGCCAGAATATCACGCGTCATCAGTGCAACAGTTGAATATGTACTCTCAACAATTTTTCATAACTCTAGAATTGATTTGGCGCGTAAATTCATTGAATCATCTTGAAGATAGCAGTCAAATTCAGTTTTACAAGCATGTAGTTTTGCCTGATTTTCAGTTGCAATCAATGTATGCAAGTCCTGTTTCAAAGTTAGTATTATAGTTCTATGTGATATGAAGTGTTATCAAAGATTGTTACTTACTAGAGAATTGTATTTCACTATCTTCACATCTCAAACATCTGCTCATTCAAATCTCTGATAGTTGACATTGTAGTAGTCTCAGACTAATTTGACATATGAGTCTCATTTCTCCTCTGTCCAATCTTGAGAAGTGTAGGTGTTAACTCAATGAGAGGGATCTAGTAGAGCTGCTACAGCATAGTACTCTGTAAAAGGTTGTTCTGTTTTACTGTAGTAATATGCCAGTTTATTCCTTGCAGCAACAATAGCCTGCACTATAGCATCATCCCAGACTGAATTTCTTTTTGAGTGATTCAACTGCTTCTCAAGATGAGTAAATAAACTGTTATACACTCACCAGACTGACTGCAGCATTGGTGTACAAGTGATTGAGACTGCCTTTGTTGTCTTATAAAACTGAAACAGTAAATCAATCACATATTTCAACTGAGTTCACTTCATATCAGAAAGTTTCAATATCTGAATCTTTTCTCAATCAGAGTGTTGCACTCAATGATCAATCATCTGACACAATCAAAGAGTCTGAACAGTCATCTTATATATTGAACTTCACTGTGTTCTAACATTCTGTATCATATTCAGTGATGTGACTGATTTGTTTGTTTGTTGAATATCATGAAATCATTGTTATTGTTTAGAAGAGGTACAAATCACATTAGCAATGTTTTGAATCTATGATATTTAAATTATTAGTCAATCTATTCAAAATTAACAGTAGTGTTATCAAAAAGCATTATCAAAAAGCAATATCAAAAAGTGTTATTAAAAAACATTATCTTTTGCAAAGTGAATGCAAAAGTTACTTGAGTAATCACTTTCATCTCATTCTCATCTCAAGAATCAGTCATCTCATTATTCTTTGCCTTGATGTTAAGATTCTTTATCAGTGTTTGCATCACAAGTTGAATCACATGAGTAATACAGAGGATATGACCTTGTTTATCATTTCAGAAATGCAAAGCCAATTTTTGCTTCAAGCTCTTCATCATAGTGTAGTTATTTGCAGCATTGTCAGTTATAATTGTAAGAAGACTGAGACTAATATCTCAATAGTCATTTTTAATCACAGTTATTAATATCTCTGTCATATAATCCTCAGTATGACTACTGATCAATGATTCAAATTCAATTAATGTCTCTTAATAAGTTCAGTTCTCATCAATGTAATAACATGTAACTCTCATAAATGCAAGATTGTTTGTACTAGTTCATGCATTCACTGTGAGAGACACTCTTTGATGATTCTTCAACTCTGATTCTAGATATTGTATATTGACTTTGTAGTGTGTCTTGAGATTGAACTGAAGACAGGATTAATGTAGAATATGAAGATTTGAATTAAGTATTTGAAGAAGTGTTCAGAATTCGGGGTTTTCAATTAATTGAAGAGAAAGATTCAGAGATATACATATATAAAGTAATTGTTCACAGAAGTTATCAGATGAGAGTTGTGAAATCAGAGTACTGATACAGAGTTGTTTTCACATGATTTTCTTCAAATTAGAAAGTTAGTGTTATCAAAAATCATTACCTGGTAGAGTAACTTATCAGCTCAGTAGTAATTTTCTGATTATTTTCCTTTTGTTGTCTGCATTCTGATGACTTCAGATGTTAAGAAATTTCTTCAGAGTTATAATCAGTTCATGATAAATGTTTCTGAATGAAGTTGCAGTGATTATAGCAGAGAGATGACTCTTCAGTAATCTGCAATACAACCTGTTGATAATTATTTCATAGTTCATCTTGATATTTGTGTTGAGTTTTTCATAAATTTTGTGGCCTGAAATCAGATGTGAAGAATGAAGTGATTATTCATCATAATTGAAAGAGAGTATTCTGTGTTGAATTGTAAATAACATAGACTTTGTGATTCACAGTGATTTCTTGAAGAGTTTGTGAATCTTCAATAGAAGTAAAAGAAGTGAATTCAGAAAACATGATAATAATTTAAGAAAGATGATAATTTATTTTCAATAACTGATCACTGATGTGTGTAAGAAGAATTAATATAAGAGAAAATAATCTTGTTTCTTAGCTTAGTTATAATTTTAGTACTAACTCAGATTAAATATCATTGATGTATAAAAGTAAATAAACAATCTTGATTAATCTCTGTCATATTTCTTAAAATATATTAATATTGTAAAAGAGAGTGTTACTAAATTGTGTTATCAGATGATATTATTAAAAATATATTAATATTGTGAATATCAATGTTGAAAAAATATTGATACTTATACATTATAGTGATTTGTGAATCATGATAGTTAAATATATATATATATATATATATTGTTCCTGACTTGATTACAACTTGTACAATAATTTTTAAAAACTCAAAATTAATTTCAATTATTAATAATTATGAACTTACAACTAAACTAACTAATATAAAAAGAAAAAAACTTTTTCTACTCATTATCTTTCTTCTCTTTCTCATTCTTCTTATCATTCTTCATAATTCACTTCTTATTCTTCTCCTCCTTCTTCTCCTTCTCATCTGAGATGATAATCACCTCAAAATCTCTCTTCACTGCCTTCTCAGAAGGGGGTTTCTGCTGCTCTCTCTCAGCCAGGTCAACCTGTGTCTCAAAATCCCGCATTTCCTGGTCTGCTGTCTTGAGTTCCATCTCAGTGATAAGCAGATTGACATGCTCAGAGAGCAGAGCTGCCTTCTCAATGTTCTGAATCATGAAGTGCATTCAAGATCTGAACAAGGCCTCAATCCTCTTCTTCTCTGCCAGCTCCTGCTAATCAATTAGAGAACAGAAGTGTTATCAAAAATCATTAACTCTCAATAAATAAAAAACTTATCAGTTTTGACTTCTTTGTCTCTCACTTCAACATCTCCTCAATCTTCTTCTATCACTGCTTATTTGCAGTAATACTCTTCTTCTCTCTCTCTCTCTTCATCTTGATCTCAAATCATTCTCAGAACTTCTCCTGATCTCATCACTGCTGCATGAGGCTCTTCACTATCTTCTTCTTCAATCTCTCACAGGCAGCGCCATCCGCATTATTCCTATACTTAGTTCAGTCTAAATCTATCAGAAGTGTTACTTAAAATTGTTATCATTCTGCTTTCTTACAGAGCCTCTTCAAGACATTATAACATGCCTTGTGATCTGTCTCCTCTCACTTGAACATCTTCTTCTTCTCTCTCTTCAATCTGTGACAGCGCTCATGCGCCTTGATGGTCCGCAGGACCGCAGAATATTTGAAGAGGAATGACATGATTAGTTTCAGTAAGTGTTGAAGAGAGGTGAAGGCAGGAGAGGCGGCCAGAAATGATATGATAATAGTGATAATAGTGATGATGATAATAATGATGATGATGATAGTAATAATGATGATAATAGTGATGATAGTGATGATGATGATGATAATGATGATGATGATGATGATGATGATGAAAGAGAGAGTGTATTGAAATATATTACTGACTTATCAAATATAAAGAGACTCAAAGAAAATATTAACAGCTTTCAGTGATGTACAGAAACAGCTACAGTGTTGCATAGCAACATCATCTTTATTCAATGCATACACTGTTGATATTCTTTGTATACAGTTATCATATAATCTGTATCAGAGATACATGCAGAAAACAGATCTTTGTTACTAGAGTAAATGATTGCAGCAATTCTCTGTTTTCATATTATAAAGATAAGTTATTCTCATTTCTTTCTTCTCTCTTTTCTCTTCTTCAATCAACCACGAATTCCAAGCTGATATGAAAACTATTAAAACACTCTCAGAAACCCTCAAATTGAAGAGTATAGACTAATCAAATTTCAAATGCAGAAGAAATCAAATTATCTTCTACAGATTCAATTACTCACTTCTTCTTAAATAAAACAGCAGTCGCGTCCCTCTCCCCCCTCCAACCAAATGAAACATGGCCCGCGAAAAGCGAGTACCACGCCAGGCCATAATAATCAACACAGCCCCAGCACGCAGGGCTGCATATGCGCAGCGTGTGCTGAACTGAGAGACTGTGTGAGTTGCAAACTGGTGACAGCATCCCAGGGAGAGCCATGCGGCGTGGGAAAGCCGCAACTCTCAGCCACATGTACAGAGAATGAATCACTGCAGTAAGTACATGTGCATTGAAGTAATGCTTTTTGATAACACTCAGTCTCTGATATGATGAAAATAGAGTCTCTCTGTGAGATCTGTTTCTATCAGAAGTCAGAGAATCTTATATTTCTCAAGACTATCTTCACACATCTTGTCTGTGAAATTGATGAGGGAAATCATCAATTCCAGTGTTCTGCTCTTGATGTCATTCAAGTAGCAGCAGAGTTCACCCTGGTCACACTTTTTGAGTGTATATTTTCTAATTATTCACATTTATATAGATATATACTGATTATTTGTTAGATGATATTAAGATAATGACTCATCACAGTCATATTACTCTCACTGTGAGAGATACACAGTTGATGATGAACATTGTGAAGACTCTGAGAAGTGAGTATTTTAAGAATACTGTGACTCTGTGATCTTGATTTTTTTTTATTTTTGTTTTTTGTTTTTTCTTTTTCTTTTCTTTTTTTTTTTAATTTTTCTTTCTCTTTCTATCTTTTTCTTTCTCTTCTTTTTTTCTTTCTCTTTTTTTTTTTTTTTTTTTTTTTTTTATTGTGATTTTTTCTTGTTGTTTTGTTTTTTGTTTTTTTGTTATTTTTTATATTTTACATTTTTTTTTTAATTAAAATGATATTAATTATAATCTGTGTTCAGAAAAGTAATGATATTTGATAACACTCTCTATTGAATTTTCAACAAATAAGCACTATGTTATGATATTATGTAAGTGAGAAATGATTTCATGATTTCATTTAATGTCATTTTCAATAATGAAATCAGAATGAAAATGTGACTAAGAATTCAAACATATTCTTTATCTGAGACTAGATTTTTATTTGAAAAGTGAATCTGAAATCTTTAATATTTGAAATAACAGGATTTGAAATCAATGTGATGAATACAAATCATGATCAGAAGTAATGCTTTTAGACAATGTAATAACTGTAAAGTTTGATTCTGATCTCAGACACAGTTACACAGTCAGTCTACTCTACTCTCTTCTTCTATCACTCTCTTTCACTCTGTATCACCTCATATTAGACTGACTGTGTGACCATGTCTGAGATCAGAATCAAACTTTACAGTTGTCACATTGTCTAAAAGTATTACTTCTGATCATGATTTGTATTCATCACATTGATTTCAAATCACATTATTTCAAATATTAAAGATCTCAGATTTACTTTTCAAATAAAAATCTAGTCTCAGATAAAGAATATGTTTGAATTCTTAGTCACATTTTCATTCTGATCTCATTATTGAGAATGATATTAAATGAGATCATGAAATCATTTCTCACTTACATAATATTATAACATAGTACTCATTTGTTGAAAATTCAACAGAGAGTGTTATTAAATATTATTACTTTTCTAAACACAGATTATAATTCATATAATTTTAATTATAAAAAAAATATAAAATACAAAAAAAAAAACAAAAAACAAAAAATAAAACAAAAACAAGAAAAAATCACAATAAAAAAAAAAAAAGAAAAGAAAACATACACTTAAAAAGTGTGATCAGAGTGAACTCTACTGTCACTTGAATAACATTAAGAATAGAACACTGAAATCAATGATTCTCTTCATTGATTTCATAGACAAGACATATGAAGATGATCTTGAGAAATATAAGATACTCTGACTTCTGATAAAAACAGATCTCATAAAGAGACTCTATTTTCATGATATCAGAGACTGAGTGTTATCAAAAAGTATTACTTTCATGCAATGTATATACACTTACTGCAGTGATTCACTCTCTGCACATGTAACTGAGAGTTACAGCTTTCTCACACTGCACAGCTCTCTATGAAATACTGCTGTCAGTTTGCAATTCATACAGTCTTTCAGTTCAGCATGCACTGTGCATATGCAGCTCTGTGTACTGAGACTGTGTTGATCATTATGGCCTGGTATAGTACTCACTTTTCACAGGTCATGTTTCATTTGAGAGAGAAGAGAAAGACATGACTGTTGTTTTATTAAGAGAAGAATGAATAATTAGTATTATTGAATATAATTTAATTCATCTGTATTTAAAATTTGATTAGTCTATACTCTTCAATTTGAGGGTTTCTAAGAGTGTTTTAATAGTTTTCATATCAGCTTGAACTTAGTAGTGAGTTGAAGAAGAAGAGAAAAGAGAGAAGAAAGAAATGAGAATAACTTATCTTTATAATATGAAAACAGAGAATCACTGCAATTATTCTCTCTAGTAATAAAGATCTGTTTTCTACATATATTTCTGATATAGATTATATAATAAATGTATACAAAGAATATTAATAGTGCATGTATTGAATGAAGATAATATTGCTATGTAACACTGTAACTGTTTCTGTACATTTCTGAAAGCTGTTAATAATTTCTTTATCTCTTCATATTTAATAAGTCAATAATATATTCTGATGCACTTTCTCTTTCATTATTATCATCATTATCATTATCATTATTATTATTATCACTATCATTATTATTATCATTATTATTATTATTATTATTATATTATTGCTAACTGTCTCTTCTGTCTTTATCTCTCTTCAACACTTATTAAAATTAATTATATTATCTCTTTTTAAATATTCTGCGGTTCTGCGGATTATCAGGACGCGTGAGTGCTGTCACAGATTGAAGAGAGAGAAGAAGAAGATGTTTAAGTACAGAGAGACAGATTGTAAGATATGTTATAATATCTTGAAGAGACTCTGTAAGAGAGTAGAATGATAATAATTTTAAGTAACACTTCTGATAGATTTGGACTGAACTAAGTATAGAAATAATACAGATGACATCACTTATGAGAGATTGAAAAAGAAGATAGTAAAGAGTTTCATACAGTAGTAGTAAGATTAGAAGAAGTTCTGAGAATAATTTAAGACTAAGATAAAGAGAGAGAGAGAGAAGAAGAGTGTTACTGTAAATAAGCAGTAGTAGAAGAAGATTAAGAAGGTATTAAAGTAAGAGATAAAGAAGTCAAAACTGATAAGTTTTTTATTAAGAGGTAATGATTTTTAATAATACTTCTGTTCTCTAATTGATTAGCAGAAGCTGGCAGAGAAGAAGAAAATTGAGACCTTGTTCAGATCTTGAATGCACTTCATGATTCAGAATATTGAGAAGACAGCTCTACTCTCTGAGCATGTTAATCTGCTTACTACTGAGATGAAACCCGAGACAGCAGACTAGAAAATGCAGGATTTTAAGACACAGATTAATCTGACTAAGAGAGAGTAGCAGAAACTCTTCTCTGAGAAGACAGTAGAGAAAGATTTTGAGATGATTATTATCTCAGATAAGAAGAAGAAGAAGAAGAATGAGAATAAGAAGAAAGATAATAAGTAGAAAAAGTTTTTTTCTTTTTATATTAATTAGTTATAAGTTCATAACTATTAATTAATAATTGAAATTAGTTTTAAGTTTACAAAAATTATTGTACAAGTTGTAATCAATTATCAATATCAGAAATAATATATATATATATATTCAACTATTATATCACTATAATGTATAAGTAGTAACATTTTTTCAACATTGATATTTATAATATTAATATATTTTTAATAATATTATCTGATAATGTAATTTGATAACACTCTCTTTTATAATATTAATATATTTCAAGAAATATAACAGAGATTAATCAAGATTATTTATTTACTTTTATATATCAATGATATTCAATCTGAGTTAGTACTAAAATTATAACCAAGTTAAGAAAGAAGATTATTTTCTCTTATATTAATTCTTCTTACACATATCAGTGATTAGTTATTGAAAATAAATTATTATCTTTCTTAAATTATTATCATATCTTCTGAATTCACTTCTTTCACTTCTTTTACTTCTATTGAAGATTTATAAACTCTTTAAGAAATTACTGTGAATTATAAAGTCTATGTTATTTACAATTCAATATAGAATACTCTCTTTCAATTATAATAAATAATCACTTCATTCTTCATATCTGATTTTAGATCATGAAATTTATGAAAAACTCAATATAAACACTGAGATGAACTATGAAATAATTATCAACAGATTATATTACAGATTACTGAAGAGTCATCTCTCTGCTACAATTACTATAACTTTATTCAGAAATATTCATTATAAACTGATTATAACTCTGAAGAAATTTTC